CAATCGCAGCCGGTCGCTCAGCTTGGCGGCTTGTCACCGGTGCTTCAAGAGCACAGAACCACATGGGCAAGTTCCGCTACGAATAGCAGCAAACCTGCGTCCTACTCATTTATCAAGAGATGCTGTATGTTCAACGGCGGGCTCTCGGGGAGCTCACGGAAGAAAAGATTAAAAGGATGCGAGCGATGCAGATGGTACAAGGGGCCACTGACTGAGATGGACTCCCTGCATCCACAATCCACAATCTTGGAGGGTGTCTGTACATTCCATTCCGTAGTGTTCTGTACATTGGAGCAGTAGCATGTACAAGTGGCACAAGGCACATTCTAGTGGCTCATCTGCGCACTGTGGGGCATTGCTTGTGCTCCCGCCTCTGAAATCTGCTCGGATTGTGGCCCTGTCGTCATTGGGGGCTGGTAATGCAAACTGTAGTCGCTGTAGAGTCTCGCGATGTTCTGGTTGTAGCGAGTGGACTTCTCTGACAGTGTAAACTGCGACTGTGATCCTGTGTCCTTCCCAAGGGTAGGTCTCATGTCTGTGGTAGGGGTTGAAGGCGACGCCAGACATGGTGAGGTTGTGTACTTCACCGTATAGTGTGCCATCCTGTGATGCACATTGTCCACCAGATTGTTCGATCCATAGACCTCCTCCTCGGAAAGTTGAGCATGGGAGCAGGACATTGACACTGTCTTTGGCATTGTTGAGGTCTTTATGCACTCCCATCGATGTGTTTCGCTGGAGGACGAAGCTGGTGAATGGCACATGTGTGCAGGATCGGATGAACTTGCACACTAGTAGGGTAACCCAGGGGAATAAGGTGGTGTTTCGCCTCAATCCAGAAAGTGGGCCCTGACTATAGGCTCCACTGCAGAATCCCATGCTGCTGACTCTGCCACTGCTGGCTTCTCGTCTGGGCTCATCCGAGGGCAGACAGTCACAGAGTAACTCCCAAACTTCCATGCGAACTTGCCCACTTTCTATCATCTCCGCTGCTATCTGTTCTGCCACATGTAGTGGCATGGGCATATTGGTGGGGATACTGTCGTCGATTTCCAGCGAATAAGGTATTCGCACGACATGGTCGAGTGCAGGATGCACTCGTTGCGAATGCATATCCATGATTGCATAAGTTCTCAAGAGTGGCCCGGCTACTGCTGCACACGACTGTGTGGCAGATAAGTGCAGCTGCAGGTCAATGCATGTTTTCACACAGTGAAGCAGCACATCTGGGTTTTTCTTGATCTGCCGATCTTCGTCAACCAACTTGCTAGACTAATTGCATGCAGACAAGGAGTGGCCCGGAGGCACACTGTGGGTGGGCTGATCTCACTGTGCATACCTGAGGAGCACAGCGCAATGAATGTTGGGGTAGCCTTAGACTGCTACGGCACCACGCAAATGTTTCTAAGGTTTTTTGTCTTTTTTGGAGCGCGTGCCGATTGCGTGTCCCCCACATGCGGCTACCCCCACGCTCAGCGCTAGTACCTGCACAGGAGGAGAATGTAGCATTGCTGGCTGAGCAATGCATCATTCTCCAGGGGTGTGTGGATATGTTCTGCTTTCCACTGTGGTGGCGCATGCGGGGCTAGTCTGGCGGGCAGGTGATTAACAACTAGAGCTGAGGTCGTGGCCCCGCAATGAAGGACACATGCAACTATTGCGTATGGGATGCTATCGCATTCGTCATCTTTAAACTGGGGAATCTGAAGTCTGTGTGTGAGGCGAATTTTTGTGTGGAGTTTTTGCAAGACACCATTTGGGCCCTCTTTGAATCTTGAGATACGAAGCATAGCAATACGGGGTAAGGTGGTGCAGGCCTGGAGGTAGGTACCACCCTGGTGCCAATGATCAATCAAGCTTTGTATGTCAATGGGCTCAGGTGCATCAGGAATGTTCAGTGTGATAGCTTTGTTCATGAAGTGTTGTTCCCTGATTTCCGAGCCTTCTGCTAGATTGACAATGCGAGATTCCCACCTGCCTTGTAGGACTTGTGGCTTGCCAACTCCGAGAATGTGCTCCAGAAACTCACAGGCATCATGTTGCATGTGCAGATTAATCCAGTCTCTAAGAGCCGTGCGCCAGGATCGTATGGCATGAACATGCATATGGTAGATGTCCCGCCACGCCTGTGCCTGAGTCCCATACTTGAGCACATCAGCTACCTGAAGATGGCTGACAGCGAACAGCCAGGCTCGCACACTGGCATTGATGTAGCATGTATTGCTGCTGTTGAGAAGCCTTATCAGGAGAATTCGGCTAATGCTTGATGGACAAGGGCGGCAGCCGGCGATTGCTTGAGAGTGTCGCGGCGGAGCTGACAGCGTTCTTTGTGTTTTTTGTAGAGCTTGGTGTAGCTCAGCCACGTGCGCCATCGGCCAATGAGAGCTTTGAGGGTGATGTCAGTGGCACTACGACGATAGTGTCTCCAGGCCTTCCACATGTCCTGTATGCCTTGCTGTATGTGTGGTTGTTGCCATCTGGCAGGGGGCTGACTGGACTGCGAAGCCTTGGGGAAGTGCTGCACAGCAATGCTTTGCACAAGGGTGGATATGGTACCTACATCAGCCGAGGTGCGGATGTTCGCAAATACCTTCCTGGACTGCCTCCCTGAAGTGCTGGATTTCTGGGGCCTTGGAGGGGTCAGGCACCCGGGCAAGCTGGATAATGCGTTCAGTGTCCACCTGGGTGGCTGGTTTGGCCTGCTTCCGATGAATAGTGTAGTGAAACGGCAGAGTGGCGATGATGGGCAGATGTATGCCTCCACCTTTGCGCCAGCCTCCGACCGGGCTGGAGTGCAGGGGATGGGCTTGTCGCGCTTCACGTGTGGCGTCGGCTAGGCGAACAAAGATGTAATCAAGTTGCGCCTGGTGTTTCCCAAAGGTGAAAGTATGCGCTTTTCTGCCTGGTGTCCCCCACGTGTTGATTGCAACTAGTGAGTGTGTGGAGAGCATTGTGTGAACCGACTCTGCATCCGGGGCCCGCTCTGGTGAAAGGTCTCCCGTACCATGGCCTGCGTGGGGATGTTGCGGGGTCAGTTGCACATTGAGGTCGCCGCCTACTACAAGCATCTCTCTTTGCGGAATGCCACCAATACATCTAGTAAGCTTCTGCCAGAAGTCACTTCGTTTATCTAGAATGCGCGAGTCTCGAGGGGCCCAGGCGTGTTGATAGGCGCAGACAATGCTGAGCATGCGACCGGTGGCCCCAAAGGGGAATTAGACCCGAAGGAGTCTGCCTGGCAAGATCGCTTCATATTTCACATCCTGTAAACAGGTGAGTGTGCGTCTGATCAGGATCATGGCGCCTGCGTGCTTCTGGGCGGCTGTGCCCGAACCTATGCAAATCCAGTTTCGGGTGGTGTATTCGCTGTCATCTCTGAGCTTGGTTTCTTGCAGAAGAGCAACATCAAAGTGTGACTGATCTAGAAATCTCATGAGGTCTTCGTACATTCCAGAGCCAAGGCCTCCCACGTTGAAGCAGTATACCTGGAGTCGACGCGGTGGGGCATGGGTTGGGGCCCTACGGCTGACCACTTGAGGCATATCACAGGATTCGGCAGAGTTGGCTACAGCGAGTATTCGCCCTTTATAGGGTGCATGGCCATGCACGACGGCTCTGTGGCATGCTCGCTTAAATGATCTCTTGACATATCGATTCCAGTTGTGAGTAGGATCCTGCTTCCCATATGTGACCTGGATTCCGTTTGTCTTCGGCACTTGTTGGGGCAATGCATGGGCATGCATGTTGCCTCCCCCAGCTCCAACGGAGAGAGCTGGAACCCTCAAACTGTGGGTGATCTGACAATGTAGAAAGAACTGGGCTAAAATAAGTCGACCCCCCACCCCGGACTTGGGACCGGGCCGGGCTGCTATTCCGAAGGTGTGTGGTAGTTCGTGCATTGGGGCGGCATCGTAGCTCGCACCTAGAGGTAGTCGTGGCTGTTGCCTGGCTGTTCTCCATTGGAGACAGATATGATGCAGTGCAGCGAGTGATGAGTCCACAGAGGGCCCTGGTGGCATCCCCAAGAAGTGCACATGCAATCTGTGCTGGAGATGGACGGCTTAGACGTCTAGGGTGTGACGTCGCCTCTGTTTTGGCCTACCTTGCTTGACAGGTCTGCAGCGATTGGGGGGTTTGCACTGTTGGGGGTTATGGTGGGGGTGAGGCTCTTTCAGATTGAGGTCGCGGCCCAGTTGAGGTCCTGTGCGTATGGTCCTGCAAGGCGAGAGCAAGCTAGTCTGAAAAGGAGGGTGCAAACTGCTGACTGCAAGATCAGACAAAGCTGCAAGGGCAAAACCACTGGCAGAAACCCTCATGTATCGCCGACTGACGGCGAGTGCGACCAAAGGCGGGCGCGGTGGCTCATCTTTCGAGAGCAACACCTGTCTGGTACTTAGTACCTGCACACTGTGAAAGAACCGCGGCCCTACGGCGTCCTCTGTGAGGAACACATCGTTTGCCGATCTGTACAGGCGGATGGCACCTTCGGCCACCGCCTGGCGTGTCCGGATCCAGATCAGTATGTCGCAGCTGTTTCTCATCCCGGATATGGGTCCCTCCCATGGTAGTGTCGCGACCATGTGGATATGCCGCCTAAAGGCGGCCCCTTGCTGGCCCCCTGCCACTAGGCCGTGTTTGAGTATGCTTTCGTAGAAGTCGTAGTAGGTGCCATGTGCAGCATACTCTGGGGCCTCATCCTCGGAGAGGAGGGTGAGCAAGAGCTCATCCCTGACATGGACAATGGAGTGTCCTTGCATGGCTCGGACCAGGTAGCGACCATCTCGAACTCCCACTTGGAACCTGCTTTTCTTGTTGTAGTGTATCACGTCAACAATCTCTTCTTCTCGAATCCATTGGTTCCAGAAGCATGGGGTCTGTAGCAGGTCATCCATCAGAACATAGCCATCCTCCCCCATTTGTAGTCCAATGCGTGGCGCTGTGTGGCGGAGGACTTGCGTGAGCGCTTTGGACACTTCCATGGCACGCGAGCCCCTGACACTAGCTGGGACACCAAATTGGCGCATCCACGTTTCTGTGCCTGACTCGCGCGCTCTGGAGGGGCCAGTGGACGGCGCACACTGCGGCCTCCTATGAGGCGATGCTGTTCTGCTGCGGGAGGGGCCCATGCGGGCTCCCTAAGTGCTGGTCCGTCCTGCTTGTGCGAGGCCTGGCTCACCTCGACGATTTGAATGTCTTCGTCCTGCTCCACGACGGGGACTTCTTCTTCGGCATCCTCTTCTTCCCATTGTTCCCCTTCCCACTGTTCAACAGGGGAGTCCATGGGCGTGGTGGGGCTTCGCTGTTCCTCCTCTTCCGTGGCAGAGCCCAGCACTTCTGCATCGTGTTTGGCTTGTAGCTTTGTGAGTGCCAGTGTCGCCGAAGGTGGTGGAGTGAGAGGTGCCCGGTCCTGATGTAGGTCTTCTCGTAGGAGGTGTTGTAAGTTGGGGTCCCCCGCCTCGCCCGGCTTGTGTTTTTTTCTCCATTATTTCGCTGACCCTGAGCTCGGCCGGGTTCATGTTCCATTGGAGGCTGTCGTGCACAGCCTGGCTGCAGGCTCCAACCAGATCCGACACAAGTTGAACCAGCTCCGTGTATTGTGGGAACCAGTCAGCAACAGGTTGCTCCCTAGCCTTGCAGACCGTGAAGCTCTCCATGAAATCGCCCAGCTTGCGAACATTGTTGTACTTGACTCGAAAGAAGGGGCACAGTAGGCTCCCTGTCAGTGCCAAGTTCCAGTTGCCTACCCGTGGCCAGTGAGCTGTGGCCTCATCGTTGTGGAAGTCGTCGTGCATGCTGGTCTGGTAGTCGCTGCGCTGGAAGGCCTCCAGCATGGTGGGTAGCCCTTGTTTGGCCAGGCTCTCCAAATGTTCCACAATAGCATGTAATCTTTGAAGTTGCGGCGTGTGGGGGAGAGTGGCTGAGGCCACTGGCTGATTGGCCTCCAGCCCATCGGTCACCTGCGTGCTTCGCGACCTCTTGCTGGGTGGTGTAGGGGGCTGTCTGATCTCGCCATCCCTGTTCTCTGGACTGGCTTGTGCCTCGATGCTGGCCTGTCAGTCCATTCTTGCCGGGCTTCTTCCCAGGCGGCTCTCGAGTCCCGATCGCTCCATTGCCAGTCCCAGGACTTTTCGTCTTCGTATTCTTGCCATCCATAGGACTGCCAGTTGTCTTGGGCCGCTGAAGTCTCCTGCCAGGGGCCGTCTGTCGGCTCCCCTTGGTCTTCTTCTGTGTAGATGCGAAAGTGCTGCGGTCCTCTTGAGTGGCGTCGGGTCGATGATGACGAGGCTGGCTCAGCAGATGAGGGGTCTTGTTCTCGTTGTTGTTGCTGAGCTTGCCTGGCTTGGTAGGCTTTCCAGAATTCGACATAGGGTCGCCTTTTCTCTATCTCCCCGGCTGTTCTTCTTCTGGTGCCATCGGGCCTAAATCTGGAGCGTGGCTGCTTCTGCCTCTGGGGCTGGTCGCCCCCTGTGGGCCCATCTACTGTGGGTGTCTCGGGCATACTTGCAGCTGCAGAAGCATGAGCATGAGTCAGGTGCTGCATGGGCAGTCGGCCTCGATGCTGACAGGCAGGCTGGCACTTTACCAGAGGCTGGGTGCCGGCTAAGTGCAGGCAAATACAGCTGGCATTCTGTCCTTGTTGTGGAAGGAGACCTGCTGTGGAGGGGCCATCGAGATCCCTTGACTCGCACCTGGGGGGGTACATGCTCAAATCGGGGGTTGGACTCAGTAGCTGACTGCTGCGGCAATAGCAATAGCTTCGTGGCTTCTGTGCATGGTATGATAGCCTGGAACATCCCTGGCAGTGACGAGTAACTCTGCTAAGCGCCAGACCGGTGCGTTCAGTCCATGGCATGCAAGTCCAGGTGCTGTTTATGACAAGGAGCCGGGGCTTTGGAGGGCTCTCTAAGGTCATATTTGGACTGTGACACCTGAATGGACTGCGTAACCAATTCTCTTGCGCTGGCTGACATGCGCTTGCGCCTGGATCTGCGGACTGATGTTGTAGTATCAGAGGTCTGAGAGTCTTGTTTGCATGGTTGCTCGTCAGGGGCAGGGTGTTCTGCTTCCCTTGCGCACAATGCTGTGGCAGTTGCGTTGTCTCTCCAGGGGCTCTGGCATTTATTAGCACCACGGACCTTGGTCGTGACGTTGCGGTTGCACAGGTCCTGGTCCAACTGTCCTGACAGTAAGTGCCGTTGATCCTGAGCAGGGTGCTCAACACAACGCTTAGCACAACTTGCAAGGGTAGCAGCAGCCGCTTGCGGACCTGTGTTCGCGGGCTGATGTTCCGGGCAGTTCTGTTCCATGGCATCGAACTACACCTTCTACAAAAATGGGTCCCGCTGGTGGGACACAGTTGAGCCGGAGTGCTTGCTACTACTACTACTACTACCACCACCACTACCATTGCTACTATATTCACTTTTGCTCTTGTTAACTGTTGTTACTGCTGCTGCTGCTACTACTACTACTACTACTACTACTCCTGCTGCTGCTGCTGCTGCTGCTGCTGCTGCGGCTGCTGCTGCTGCTGCTGCTGCTGCTGCTACTGCTTACTATTACCAGTACCATCAGTATAAGCATCACTATTACCATTACCACTACTGCGATAGCTTATACTATAACTTTACTTTTGCTGTTACGATCATTGCTGTAGCGGTTTTCACGTATTCGCAACTCTCGCATTGTTTCGCGGTGTTCGCGTTGACTTTTCGAGTTTTTGCAGTGTTCGCATGTTTCGCGGCTTCGCGTTGCTCGTGTTTTTCGCGTGCACCTCCGCACCTCCGCTGAGCTGAGACACACAAAGCGTTGCACAGGATCACCCACCCCACCCCACCTTAACTGTTGCTAAACGACATTGAACGACCAGATGAGGATCCGGACCGCATTGTTCATCCGGTTGTTGACTACTAGCGACTACTGAAGGTCAATTCGTAAACGACAACTCTCGCGAGCTGTACACAGTAAGCTTTCGTGACATGCATGCATGACCACGACCCAACCGGGATGCGACTGCCGAGCTAGACGGGAAAACTTCGGAAGAACACTGTAATCAGACACCTCAAGATTCAAGTTGAAGCAGGATGCCCTTCCGGTTCAAAGCTTGAAGCAGCTTTTGGAAGGTCCTGGTGAAACTTGGGATCGTCGACTCCGATTATCTGCATGCTGCCTGGCAGCAGCCGCCTGCAAAAGAGCAAATCAGAGCACCAGAAACACCATGCAAGGAGCCACGTGAGGTGAGCTGACGTGGCATTTGTTTGATCGAGCAATGTCCTTGGTCTTCTATGGACCTCTCTTTTCAACCGTTTCCGATAGTGTACTTCGCCAGAGATATCTTGGAAATCAGAATGTATGAGACTATGATATCAATGAATCGCACCACCCACAATTCAGCTCGTCTTGGTAGAGCCCTCTGCTGGTCTAGCTAGATTTACTCTGTAAAGCTGCACAAGCAGTCTGGGTTCTTTCAAGCACTTACCATCTCCACTCAGCAATGAAGCGAGGATTCCGACTCGACCTATCCAAGGCTGGGTGCAGCACCCCAGGTGCAACTGAAACAGCGATGGGAAAGTCCTCAGGTTCACCAGTGCTCTCGAAATCATTCTTCTTCAAACAGCTACAGGTAGCGGATGGTAGTGGTGTCAGGTAAGCTGACTCAGCACTGATACCAAGCTGATCAAAATCACCGCATCCGTCTTACAACTGTGTTAGCTTCACAGGTGTTGATCAAACGATGCATGGCGATGCAAGTGAGTCAAGGTGCTTCTTCTTTGCCAGATCTCCTGCCGCTCCCATGACTACCTGAATGTCGTGCTTCGACCCACACGTACCCAAGTGCCAGGATGGAAGAGTCTCGCAATCAGGCAAACCACCCAAAGCTTGCGACAAGGTGCAAACGAATAATGGCTCTCCCTGTCCACAGCCAGCCTTCCACGAAATCGATATCACGGAGCCGCCCAACACAGGGCCGCACAGAAACAGTCATCCGGGATCCGCGCTGCATGGCAGAAATATTGCTGTACCTTCGTGAACGTGCCCAGAGTGAACGTCAGCCCCCTGCCCCCACGGAAAAGAGTCACATCCTCAACGGCTGCTGGCATTCAGGTACACGCACATTCACATCTGAGCTTGGTACCTCAAAACGTAGTGCAACGGGGAGTCCGGCGGTTTGGGAGCTGGCTTGGGCTTGCGGCCTGACCGGAGCAGGCAATGGCGGAAGCCGCAAAATTTTATCTCCAAGCCTTTGGCATGCACCATGAGAAAGCCATCCGTGGAGACAACGACTCCTGTTGGCTCCACCACCTTTTGCACGCGATGGGAATTCCGATTGCACGTGAAGTCGGCGCTGCTTGGGAGTGCTTCGTAATCGCTCCGCCTTTGCTCGCTTTGCAAATCGCTTTTCACCGAAGCGTTCCTCCCAGCTAAACGCCATGGGCCACATGGGAGCCAAACGAGAAGCTCCGAAGTCCTCATCGAAGGAACGCTTCACGTTTGTCCACGCCTGCAGCGCAACCCGTGGCAGCCGCGGATGAAGCACCAAGCCTCTTGCCTCTTCAGACCCCTCTTGCAGAGTCACGAGAATATTGCTGGCCTGCATAAGGTTGCGGCACACCCCTCCAGCGGGAAAGCAGTGAGCCTCTCGGATCACGCGCAGATTCACGCAGATCCTCGTCCGCACCTGGTCAGACCGAGGCCTTCTGTCATGCAGCACATCCACCGGACACTGCAGCCAACAGCCTCAAACTCTGACGTCTCTGTGACCAGGACAGAGCGCTTCCTAAGCTGAGTTCACTCATCATCTGGGCCTTTACGAGCTTGCGTGCAATGGTGAAATGGCTTTGGTGCAGCCCGAAGTCTTCTGCGTCGCCATGCTCCAGCGGTCTGGAACCGCCTTGTACCACTCAGGGAAAACGCTGGCAATGTGTCCGTCGGAGCCTGGGGGAGCACGAGAGATCCGCACAGCCACACAGCTTTTCAGCCTTGCGGCCTAAGCCGATAGTGACCAGGTGTGGGCCATGCTCCTGCAAGACAGCTACACAGCAGCTCATTCGAGAGCCTTCGCATGCCTTTGCTGTCCTTCTCCAGCATGTCGCAAAGCCGGCTTTGATAGTCCTTCACAGCGCAATGTGACGCAGACTGTCGCGTGGCACTGCATGAAGGACTTCCATCCTCGGCACATGCCTGCGCCGAATCGAGGCTGGTGTTGGGCAGAATCTGGAACAGCCACAGGCTGCTTTTGAAGTGACAAGGTTTCCCGCACAAAAGCACAGCAAGAACATCTGAGCAGTGTTCCAGGTTTGATTCAGGAAAGCCAGCGCTGCGTCGATGCAAATTCTTGATCTCAGTCGTCATTGACAGCTGGGCTGGAGTCTGCAGTTGCTGCGGCTTTCTCACTAGCTCTGCTTCCTGGGCCGTGACTAGTGTGTCACGGATGAGGAAGGAGTTGCTCTCCTGGCTATGCTACACAAATGCTGATGGCGCTGCATGTAATCCAGTGGCCCTGAAGACCTCCTGACAATCCCATCCATAGCGCTCATCGACCAAGAACACCTTGAGAGGATTGCTTCTGAAATCAGAAGCTCATGATATTGAAAAATCATAGATGTTGCCCCAGAGACTCGAAGTGCTCAACCCGATGCCGTGCAGCCCAAGTGTGGATTGAAGCGGGACGGCACCACATGGCAGTAGTGCCTTCCTATTCCTTTCACCTAGTCGCCAATCACCAGACATTATCCTTCGCCCTAAACTCTGTATAAACCAAACCTCGAAGCCTCGCCAATAATGTCAACAGCCAGGACAGCTGCATGCACTGGATGGAAAGCGTGGCCCCGAAGCGACCGCTCAAAGCTTGTGTGGCAAGCTCACTAGTCACAGGGCTATGATGCTGACCAGCAGCAAAAACACGCGACCAGTCGATGCTAGTTCGCCCAGCCAATGTCGACCAAACGTCTGCTTGCCTGCACCGTTGTTGAAAAAACTAATTTGCGATTAGTTGCTTGCTTGTACTATGCATCTCTCAGAGTTGCCACAGTCGAGCCTCGAAAATGCTCATCCTTCCCCCGACTGGGAACGACATGGAACGACCTAGTTTTCTGTCTGTCAGGCCTAGCGCCGTCTTGCCAGGCCTTGTTATTGAGAGGGCGGGTATGAACTTTGGACAGTTCGGTGCCCTCATGTGCGAGAACGAACGCTGAATGGAGAAGTTTGGTGAAGGAGCTCAAACTCCCACGAGTCCTAGAACCCCAGCCCTCCTGCAGGGTGGATGTGCTTCTGCTTATCACAACACCTCTCACTCCTTGCTGGCGCTTTCGTGGTGGCTGCTTGTCGAGCGGTGTGCTGCTGTGCGGTCATCCGGCAGGGTGTGTCTGCTCCACCGTCTGGTCAGTTCCTGGACTAGGCCCGCTGGGCCCGGGCAGTTGAAGGGATTTGGGCAAATGTAACCGACTCTGCCGGCAGCAGCTCAGTCAGGACGTGGAAGAGCTGGAGAGACACGGTGGGACGACTGGGAAGGCTCGGGTCACTACAAGAGGGGGCAGCATGAGCTGGGGGGCGGGGGGTACATTGGTTCAGGTATGGGGGCGCGTCGTGAGCCGCACAGTCCCTGTGCCAGCATATGCCAGCATGCCTATATTTCGGGCTGATTGGGCTGCTGCAAGTATCCCCAGAGCATCGGATATTGAAATA